CAGGAAGATTGTCTTTTTATTATCCTTGGTTACGCATGTCTTAACTTCATTATTTCAGTGGAATTCATCCAGCAGCATAAATGGGGAGAGAATTAGACCCAACGTTTTTGAGTGAGTTTCACGATGAGATTCCTTGCATTGTAGGTCTGCTCCTATCCAAACAATATGTGATACAGGTATACAATGGCCTTTAACTTCCTGAACGCTCATGCAGTGTGTTTTTCATCAAACAGTTTGGATTAAACACATGAATTATGCTTTCTAAAAACAGCTCTCCATTATAAGCATGAACAATACCTGAGAACCTCAGGAAATCTTTTAGGTCCCAGGTTTGTAATGGAAAAATAAACATTGCACTATGTTTCCTCTCAGATAGGGCTTTTCAATTTGTTTAATGGGTTTTAAACTTTCCAACCATGCTTCCTCTCAGGAGAGAGCACTTGGGATTCAATCTGTCTCTATTTTCTAAGTGTTTCCTTCTGAGTCCCTGTGGGTCACAGCCTCCAGCCACTTCCATCTCTAAACCAAAACTATTTTTCATGGCTTGCCGTGAATGGCTTAATGGCTCTAGAACATCCTACATGTTTTAAGAATAAATATTTCAAGTCTGTCTGACATATGTTTTCCAGTGAAAAACAGATTATTACATTACAGTGTATTCTGCTTAGTAACATGCTGCGTTAGTGATTTCTCTGTAGTAAGATGACTCAAGTGTTAGACCTGAAGGTGCACAATTAATTTTAAATTTAACTCATGACTAGTTGAGACACATCATCCACCTCAAGCATTGCACAATCAACCAGCTGCACTTCGCTGGGTACGCTAGACTTCACGAAAGGCGGTGTGTCACCCTGTCACATCATAACTCAAGACAGCCACTTTGATCCATCTGTCCCTGTAGAAGGTGAGATAACAATTCATGAAGCCATGTAAAGACCAAGTAGTTGACTATAGGTTTATAAGCACGCTAACAGACAAATAAGGAATGCATATTTAAAGCGTGATTTTATGTGATGTAAATCAATATAGGTCCACAAAGGTCAGATGCAATTTTTTTTTTTTAATTCATTTATACAGCAACAGAGAAGATTAACCAATTGCTCTGGAGTTTTGTATCA